GTTAACCTTCTTTGTTTGGAAGAAAATTGTCCATTTTTAAAAGAAGGAGTTCTGATGTGATCCTGAATTTTGACAATAATTCTATTGAATTATACAATCTATTCGAAATTCTGAGGTTATTTATTTCTGAAGAGTGAAAATGGAGTTCAGTGGGATGTTATAATTCTCTGTTAATGGTTTACAAATAATACAAAATACTTACTGTAAGGATCAAAAGTAATGTTATTTGGTCCAGATGTTAGAATGGAAAAGTTTCCTGTCATATTTGGAGAAGAAGTTGTCACTACTAATATGTATTTCGTGTCAGTGTGAAGATAAGCAATGAACTTGAAATCTTGATGACTACAGCTTCGGTAATTCTGTGAGAGTAGATTCTCGAAAGGATTCATTGGATTGAAATCATCCTTGTAAATATCACCAAATGTATCCATACTGCTAGTACTACTCAGAGCATAGTATTCAGTTTCCATGACATTCATTCGTATAGTCTGATAGTAATAATTTGATTTTCGACAATCTCGAGAAAATGTTTGACTATTTTTTGTCAGCTGTAATGAATATTTTGATTGTACAGCATCTGAATATGATTTTTCGATGACTGATGGGTAACCTATGTGATGAAAATAGAAAAGCAGTCGAGATTCGTGATAGATCTAGATTGACTGAAAGAAAGACGAATCCTCTGGATGTAAGAAAGAAAACTGAACATTATAAGCCATCTCTTATATACCCAGAATATCGAAAGGCATGCCAAAATTGAGGTAAGAAGTTTAAAGAGAAAGTTCTTTATAGTATTGTTCTCAATGAAATTATTAAGCCGTAAATGGAGAGTGAGAATAGAATCTATAAACATTTTTTGTACCCGAACCCTCATTAATGTATGTCACGAATGATTTTGAAATAACTTCTTTATTTCCAAAATGGGTAATGTCCCAACATTTTAAATAAGAAAAGTGGTTTATTTATAGTCTAATTCTCCTACTATTGTAATTTACCCAAAAACTTAAGTATGTAAAGATATTTTTTAGATTCATACAAAGTAAAAATATATTTATATATTTTATATTTAAATTGTATGTATATGTTTACGACATTTTTTTATCATAAGAGCATTAAGTGATAGGGCATGCTGTAACAAAAAACAAGTTTTTTTCCATTTCATGGTCACGAGCAGGAATTCATGCCGATTTCTATATTATTCACATAAGATTAGTGATCGATTGAAACGCGTCTGCATTTAAGGACATTGATCTGATCCTATTCACAATATTCTGTTATCTCATGGATTTAATGTAGCTGTTTGTGTAAAGCTTTGTGCTTATAGTACAAATCTCATCTTACAAAACAAGTTTTCATTTCTGGATATGTCAAACTCAACTAAATACTCATACTAACGTTGACAGATACTCATTTAATAGTTGTAGTGCAAACACTTACTAATATTCTTGAGATCAACATTATTTGGACCGGATACAAAGATCGAGAATTCACCTATCACATCAAAACCATCCGCAGTCACAACCAATATATATGTAATACTGGTTTCAAGAGTAATTGTGAATCTAAACTGATTTGGTTCACAGCTGTCATCATCGTGTACGAGTCGATTTTGATCTGGATTAGATGGATTGAAAAAATCTTTATAAATAGAGCCGTATGTGTCCATATTGCTTTTGCTAAGGAAAGTGTAAAGACCATTTCTATGAATATTCACTTGTATCGCTTCATAGTAAGAACTTAACCGCCAACAAAGACTTAAATACGTTGAACTGTTCCTTGTCAAGTTTGATGCATAAACTGTTTGAACAGCTGATGAAGTATTTACTAACGAAAAAGAAAACCGATTCTATTTTGTATAACATGGAAATAAATATAAACAATTTAAAATATTACTTTCTCTCTCAAATATATTTACCGAAGGCGACTGGAAGTCATATGAATCTTATTCTCTATCGAACAGAAATATATGTATACCATTTTTTAGATTGAGTTAATCTATATTTTCTACCGATGATGAATAAGTGTAACTGATTATCTATCAAAATACTATAAATACTCACAAATACGATTGAAACCGATACAGCTTCGACCGGATCCTTGAATTGAAACGTTTCCTGTTATATTCGGAGAAGATGCTGTCATAACGAAAACGTATTTCATATTAGCCTCAAGAATAGCTGTGAGTTGAAATTGACTTCGATTACGAGAGTCTCCATTATTGCTGAGAACATTTTTGAACACATCGAATGGATTGAAGTTATTTGTGTAGATATAAGCGTACAAAGTTTTCATCTCGCTCCTGATTAGAAAAGTATAATATCCAGTTATGGTGACATTCATTTGTATCGCTTCATAATACGAATCTAACTCTGAACAATTTTGAAAATATATTGAACTATTTGGTGTCAATAATGATAAATGCATTGATTTTATTAGTAATAATGAGTTATCTATTGAAT